ATATTATCATAGAAATGGTTAAAAGCCTCTTAGACAGAAGATGCTGTAGAAAACAGGTCCTTGAAAAGGAGATCAAGTGAAGCTGTATTTTGGTCACTTTAGCCCTTTAAGATGATAAGAATATTTAGTAATTTTATTAAATTTATTACTTAGAGATTAAAATATTTCCATAATATACACTCATTTACTGAAAAGAGTATTTTCTCATGAGATATGCATTCTTTATTCAAATGAAAATTTTTTCTGATCAATATATTCATAATAAAAAACAGATGACTCTAAGGTTCTATGTAGGTACAGATATGAATATTTATTTAAAAGTATTACATATGCAAATTTTAGAATAATTTTTGGAAAATTATTTCACAAATATTGTCATTTTTGTTTTGTGTGATTTTATAAATATTACTAGTGAGCAAAGAGGGAACTCATTGAAAATGTAATTCAGAAATTAAAAAATATTGCATCTTTGCTACTTCATTCATAGGATTCAAAAACTAAAAGGACCTTTGTGATTTTGATTGTTTTAACTGAATGAGCTCAGCTTCTATTACACTCATCTGCTCATATAATCATAAAGTGTGCCTTACAGGACGCTTTTCTGCAAAGGTCAGCAAAATATTATTAATTTACTTAGGCCATGGAAATAATCCAAAAATGACATCATTAAGAGGTTTGACATTATGCAAAATAGATAATTCATTTTACTTCATAAAGAAAAATGCAACTGGATACTCTGACATGGCTTCTGCCTCCAAACATGGTATAATTAAAACAGTTTATTAAAAGAGTTATACAAGCCACTGAAGATTGGGTATCTGGTACCATGTCATATTAATATGTGCGCTCATAGTTTATTTGCAGTCATGTTTCTTGGTTTTATTTTTCTAAAAATGCATCCTGTGGAGAAACTTGAATCTTAAGAGAACATGAAATATCCGAGTACCTGACCACAGAGGAAGTTATGCTGATTCCAATGAGGGCAGACCAGCATGGTATGAATGTTCCAAGTGAGAGGAAGTGGAATGATGACTTGCATACCATTTCAATTAAAGAAAAAAAACAAGTGGGTCGATCTATCCACAGGCACGATCCTTTTAGGAAATTCCACTAAAAGAAAACAGGTCTTCCTGAAATGAGTGGGAAGGCCTCACACTCTGGGCACTCTAATTAGGTCTGTTTGTGTTCACCAGGCCTTGGCTTTCTCAAGAATCCATGTGGTTTCATGTATTAAACCCAACTCTGGCTGCCCTTTCACCCTGACTCAAATATAATCACTCACAGAATGAGTCTGACAAAGCTTCCTAAGCATGTTCCACCCAATGGACGTGGGATAAAGGACAGAGAGATAGTTAATATTTTAAGTGCTTACTAAGGCCAAGCACTTGCACAGTGCTTTTTATAGGTTGTTATGTAGTCATTTTTTTTTTTTTACCATAACTGTAGGAGGTAGGCTGTCTCACATATAAGGGCCAAAGTCAAGGTGAAAATTCATCTCATTTTAAAGATTATGGTATTTTCTTCAAATTATATAGAATCCCAATGTTAATGCAGAAAATATATGAGAAAATAATTTTCATCAAACACAAAAATTAATGTGGGCTAGTCATTAATCTGCTCTAATGAATAACTAACATGCACAGTAACTATATAGCAGTATCTACAGACTAAATGTCGTGGAATGATTACATTAACAGCAGTGTAAACTGATTTGTTTTCAACTACAAAGTTATGCAGAAAAAATCTAACTATCTCGAAATTACTACAAACTGAAATTAGAGTTGAAATTTAAAACCATATCACATAGAGAGAATTTATGTAGCAGAAGAAAAAAGCAGCAAATTTTATCACATCATGTCAAACCCAAAATGGCACATTTTCTGTGATTGAAAGTTGTTGTAACCACTAACAACCTTAAAATAAGGTTTAGTATAAATGATGAGGAATTTTTAAAAGCTGTTATGTATTAATATGTAAAAATATAACGGATTTCATCCCTTTTAAGTTTCTTAATCTAAAGGTGTGATTCATTCCCATTCTTTCCTGTTAACGCTGAACTAAAAGTTTTATTGACAGTACTATAAAAATTAAAAAATATGAAAGTAGTAAAATTCCACATTTAACAAGATTCAATTCTAGATAACTGTTTTTTGTTTTCTTTTAGTAGGAACAAAAATTAAAAGTCATCTAAAATAGATAAGCTGACTCTCCCAAAAGATTTGAATTGATTTGAGAAAAGGCTTATGCCAAAATTAATGTAATAGCCCTTAAGACCATTGGAAAAATTATCTTACAAGGTAGTGCATTACATCAGACAACACAGATGATTGTGTAGTCTATGCTGAAGCCTGAAAACTCATTTATTTTATTCATGAGTGTGTAAACATTATGTTTCCAATTTTATTCTGAAATGGTATCTGATTTCCTGAGGCTTGTGATTCACGGTCCCTTGGTTCTATCTCAAACATGTCTGCATCCTCCATCTTGCACCAGTCTGGTTTCTGCACCCTGTCAGATATAACCTTTGTGCTAATTTGGAAAAATCAGTTCTCACATTTGGTGCTGAGAGACTGATAACTGAATTCTCAAATGAACTACACATTTTCAGAGATGAAATACAGAGCTGTGGACAATGACTCTGTTTTCCCACAGTGTAAATTCTTCAGACTCAGCTGTCAACATGTGAGTGTGCAGCATAAAAGCAGCTTTAACTTGATGACTTTTCCTTCAGGGCCATAAAAGTGAAATGGATACTATACTCTCCTTTGCATTGTTCCATCTTCTAATGAGATTTTGTTTCTCACGGACACTGAAAGCCTGTAGGCCCGTTAGAGGTCTTAATAGATCAAAGTCAACTTCTTACTGAATAAAAAACAAACATTTTTCCTCCCACACAAATATTTCCGGTTAAGAATAGACCAGATAGCAATTTTAATAGAGGGGTTTTCCTACAATTTTGCCACCATACACTTCCTGGGTTTAATATTGACAGTGCCTTTTAAAAATTGTCCTTTGGGTGTTTGGAATTTTACACAGTTTCTCTTCAATTCAGCATCTTTTCTTTTCCTTTGCAACCTGCAGTTCCTCAGATGGTCACTCAGGCATCACTATATCTGCTCTACCTAATGGGGGTGGGATATGGCTATATTTCAGTACCCTTTGGTTTTCACAGTGTTTGTTTTCGATCATGAATAATATGAATAATCTTAAGTGTTATATGCATGTGAAACAATAATGAGGAACTGAAGCCAAATTTGGAGAATAAGGAAAGATGAGAGAAGTGACTGTTTTGAGAATGGGCTAACAGTGGCACATACTGCAGGACAGTTTATTTACACGCAACTTGATTAAAAATCTACAGAAAGTCTTTGATTATCTTTGGGTGAAGATAGAGGATAGACTATTGGGTGAAAGTCAGGTTTAAAGTGGTTCAAGGTAGTGAAAATGTTGAGGAAACAAGTCCTAGCCAGGCTATGAACTTAAACACAGGGGAGTATTTTGTATACCATGATTTGAAGAGGGGTGTCTTTTGGAACAGATGAGCAAGATTTCAGGTCAAGGGAAGAAATTAGTGACAAAGAAAAAGATAAGGACAGCAAAAGAAATGCCAATTGGGTTTTTTCTCAAGACTAGCAATATAATTAAGAGCACAGACAGAAAGGTCAGATGAGGAAGGTATGATTCAGGTATTTTCCCTACTACATGAAAAAATAGTGGGAAAAATCAGACATCTTATTATAGGAAGAAAGAGATATTGATTGGGATAATTTTAGGTCTTTTTTTATGTTTTAAATAGTCACTTTGAAGTATGGGATGACTCAGAACAAAGATGTCACACAAAACCCATGGTCCCCTAAAGTTTTATTGAGGTCTAGGCAAGACATGTGATTTTTCTGTAATGGACTAAGGACAGAAGTGATGAATTTTGGGGTTCCTAGAAGTAAGAACAGAATACATACGTGTGGCAGATATTCAAAGAGTGAGATAATCAAGCACCCTACTGAGAACATAGGTGAACTGTAAACGATACACTTCATACTCATTAAAGAAGCATGTGGAACCAAGAAAAAGTTCAAAGGCAGGAGAATAGGGAATGGGGAGCTTTATTTCATTACATTAGAAGTAGACACATATATTGCTGATTGAGTAATAAAAGTAATATTACAGGGACCATTGTAAAAATTTTTGATGAATGTATAATTGAAAAATCAAAAAACAATCACAGTTTTGATAAAAGGATATAAAAGGATACATAAGAATCACTCAGTTAAAAATATGAATGAAAATATTGCTTATTTTAAACATATGCATGTTGCACATTTTCTGTGATGCTAAAATTATTTAAATGCTATAAGGAAAAAAATAACAGAGAGCAATTTACAGAAAGAATCTACTTGTTCAAGTCATTAAGCCAGTGACTGAAATTGAGGAAACTGGGTCCTTGTTACAAGTCTTCTACCAGGTTAGAAAATATATTGGACATTATTTTATCACCTATAAAATGAGAAAGGACTTTTTTTTAAATTAAATATGAATCCAGTAAAATAATGATAGAGAAGTTCTTTGAAGTTTTGAAAACAGTATAAATGTGCTGTTAACACTGAAAAAATTTTTGTTTGATCAGTAGAATTGCTTTCAAGGGAATGAGAGCTAGGGAGGAAAGAAGTACAGACTGTGGGATTTGTTGTGGTGCTCCGGTCAGACAGGATTGGTAAATCATCTTATCTCTTCCCATTGCCTCCCTTCCATAGCTCCAGTCCAGATCTTTCTTTCTATAGCTAACTACTGAAAAACTTCAAATTTGGCACAAAACTAGTATTTCCTGAAATTTTAATCTCTCTTTTCTCTTTTGACCAACTTTCTCACTCCCACAGTCATGAAGTCACTGGCGTTAGCGAGCAGCATAATACATCTCAAGTCATACTGTATGAAAAGAAAGCTCTTCAAAGACTTAATGCAGACACACATTGTGTGCCTGTGGTCTTGCACACACCACCTACCGTTGAGCCACCTGGAATCGTGTTGCTCTGTCCTAATTGGGTGGTGATGTCCAAGTGTTCTGAAGATAGCAAAGTCTCGTCCCATGAAATCAGCTGCAGTTCCAGAATATAATTCTCCATCTGTGTTGTCACAACAGCAAACCAGATACATTTATTTAATTCAATTAAGGCATGAAAAACAAAACAAAGATAATGCAAGTTTAATGTTATGATTTTGCTAAAAAGAAGACAAAAGCTATTTGCATCATTATGCAAAGCTACTTACATTTCATCCTATATATTGAAAGAATTTTATTAAATGAGCTTTCTCACATCGAGTATCTATCTACTCATTGAATACAGACTTATAAAATGTTAGTAGCATCTGATTCCATGAGCATTGCTAAACATGAAATTTTATTCTTTTCTACAATGAGCAGTGACAAATGTACAATATGCAAAAATACCAATGTATGTGTAAAACTACTATGGCTCTAATAAACTTGTTTAATTGGGAACGATATCATTGTATAATCTTGCTTATAGCTTATTTTAATGCCAATTAAATGTTTTATATGCTTTTTTCCAGGAGGATCTGAATTAATGAGATTTTAATATAATTTGGAAAGACCAATATTTTCCTTGCCAACTATTTCTTGCTTTATATTTTTTAACCTATCAAGTGAATAAAAATGTTCTAACTTGGTATAGGCTATTATATTGCCCAAAAAATAAGTCTATCACAGATCCTCAGTTATAACAAAACATTTTTGAAGAGGAGAAAATGTGGACAAACCCAGGTCATAATCACTATAATTTAAGATTCTCATTAATCATTCAATTGAATTGACTCTCAGGCAGGGTTCAGTAATAGAGGGCACATAACCAGAACATAAAGAATAGAAATGAGAAGAAAGGGATGAGGAAGAGAAGCTGTATTTACTGAATAACACTATGCACTTGTCAGGCAGTCAGGCACTAACTTGACACTTTCAAATGATCTTATTTAGTTCTGTCAACATCCCATTTTGTAAACAATGTTCTATTTCACAGTTCAGGAATCCCAAAGTTTCTCAGCTAAAACCCAGGTTTGTTTAATTCCAAACCTTTACACTAAACTGAAGTTTTAAAAATTATGTTTTCTGTCCTTGAGGCACAAAGCACCTCATATTATTTCTTCCAGATAACATAAAAGTGCCTGCCTACTTACAGTGAACTATTGTATATGCAAACAAAAACAAAACATTTTCTCCAAATAATTTACAATAATCACAGTAAACCTCAATGATTTTGGATCATTTTGATGCATTAGTGTTTTTGTATTAATTGATTTAGAAAATATTCACAAAATAAAGAGAGAATAGAAAAATTGTACCTTAAACATATATATAATATTTTAATTTCCCGGGTATTTTTATATTAGAAAGGTAAGTACCAAACAATGTAAAGTTAGAGTATTAATTTAATATTGTGTAGACCATGACCAGCAGGACATTTAATCAGAAATGGTAAAGAATATTATTGAATAATTATTGTTTTGTTCAGTTTGCTTTGTTTAAGATAAATTAATAGTTATGAATGATATTCTACATGAATGATTCAGAAAGCAATTGAAATATAATGGGAAGACTATTATTTGGATTTAGAAGGACATCTATTTTATATTCACTTGTTTGGTTATATTGCAACTTTTGTTTTATTTACTTTCCTTTAGGAATGGCAAAAATCAATACCAATGAAGGTAAAAGCAGTGAGACTGATTATCCTTCAAATTTCAGACAGATAAAGAGACAATGTAGATGAGGTATGCAGAAGAAGAGCTATTGACTCAATTTATTACTGAAAAGACAATTAAATTAAAAATTGACTTTTCAACCTACTAAGGAAGGTTTCACGTTGGACATCAATTGCTTCCAGTCATGGGAAGTTACCTCCACTGGAATATTGTTTTTGGCAAGAGTCAGAGTGATTTTCTTGGGCTGGAGGGTACTAGATGATTAGGTGGTAGTAAAGGGCACATTCTCTTATTGTCCATGCTCAATGTCAGCAACTTTCAGTGCACCAGGCCATAGATCAAATTTCCTGCTAAGATTTCTACAGGGATTATGATCAGAGATGATTGTTACATATAAGACATGGCATCTTTTTTGTTTTTGCCTGAACACAGAGGTTGCAAAATATCCTTCCCTTCTTGGTTCTTGTTAAGCAGAAATATATTATCAATTCAGATTACCTGCCAATTAATATACCTGAACACTTCCTCTGTGTACTTAAGATGTGTCGTATTCTGTGGCTAATGACCTATAGATTTCACAGTACAAGAAATTTATTATATCTGGACTTTTTTGTGTGTGTTTTCTTGGAGGAAGGGGAGAAAAGATCTGCTTAACAAAAAAAGTCTATTGACCATATTTCTGTAGTTTCTAGGTCATTTATGAAGTTAACAAATTATATGCTGATTCCTGGGCATAGTGTTAAGTTACTATTTCCTGACCCTAAATATAAGTTTTCTTAGAAGTCTGAAGTCCTAAATTAGTAAATATTATCCTGCCTTCATTCAAATCGCATTATGGTTATGATCTATACTTTTCAGCTTTTCTTTCTACTAGGTAAGATCACTAGTGAAAGAAAACATGGCATTTATCCAACTCTATCAAACTGATAGAATAACATATGCAATGAGTTCTTTTATCTATATATGTATATATCTCTTATCTATCTATCTATCTATCTATCTATCTATCTATCTATCTGTCTATCTATCTATCATCTATCAAGAAGTAGTTATGGATACCCTGTTTAACAAGATCTTTGAGTCTCTACCAAAAAAAAAAAAAGAAGCACATGGGCAGAATGATGTCTCAAAAACTATCTATTGGACTAAGATTAATGCTAACAAATGTAAGTAACCATCTAGAAACTGTCAAAGAACAAAGTGGTTATTTGAGTACACCACTATTCTTTCCTAACTGTAAGCTTTTTAAACTGTCTTTTAGGGAAGTTTTCTTTACTGAAATAAACAAAAACAGTTTTGTGAACTATATTTCCACCATGACTGAGTTACCTGAGAAACATGTATTATAAATAAAAATTCATATATGCTCTAGACTTTCTGTTCATAGTTCAAAATGAAGTGAAAATTATGGCTTAAATCAGTTAATGTATCTAATTACAATTCCTAGGAAGGGTGTGGTGAGGAACAACAGGGGGATAAAAATTCCTGATGAACTTGCAGCATTACTCGCACAGGTGAAAAGTATGACATGGATGAAACAAACCTAAAGACTAAGTCACTATGCTGTTAACACCTTCCATGCATAGAGTAAAAGAGTAGTTAGAAACAGAAGGAGTGAAAGAAACTCATCTCTCTCCTTTTCCCTTTGCCTTTCACTCTGTCTCTCTCCTCCTCCACTGTTTGTCTCTGTCTGTCTCTGTCTGTTTCTGTCTCTGTCTCTGTCTCTCTCTTTCTCACTCTCTCTCTCTCCCCCTGACTCTCACACACAGCATTCATGAAAGTCATTCCTTAGAATGGAAGAGTGTGGGAACAACTTTACATTTTGTTTTTACATGTATTGAGCTCCTTCTCTATACCAGTAAATACAATACACTGGTTTTGTTGCTTATGTTGTTCTTTTACAGCTAACAGTTTTCAAGCAGTAAAATATACAGGTTACAAAAGTATAAAAAATTATAAGATGCCAAATCTGTGTCCTAGCCTCCCCACAGGCAGCCCCTGTACTAGATTTTTGTTTGCTTATTTCCATTTCACACATCTTGCAGAAATGAGCCAACAAGTCAAAATAACGTTATGAAGATACATTGTCTTACTTAATTCTCACAACAAAGATAGTGGAATTAGCATGGGAAACTGTTATATATAAAGGAAGTAAAGCTCAAAGAGGTTCAAATAATTTTCTGAATTCTATTTAATTAATTTAGGGAGGACTTTACTTATTCTAATACCCATTGGGGGGCATTTGATAATGTCAAATTATGTTCTTTCCTGAGGCAAGGCAGAATTCCAGCTTGAAGATATAAACCTTAGCCAAAAGTCTCAGACCTTTGATATTGATCTCAATGATGTATCTTAGTGATAGAATATTTCTAAGTTATTAGGACTGTGTTCTCTGGGAAAGGTTTCAGTGAGGAAATAAAATTCTCTCAAACTGATTATTCTTCATGTGCTGAAGATGTGAGATAGTGCTTAATTAGCGTGGAAAGTACAAAGTTTTATTCTCATGCTGCGTTCACACCTGGCATTTATTCTGAGTAGAGGTGCAACTGCTATCTTTAATAAAGAAACTTTAAACAAAGCCATAAAAATGTTTGCAGGTGGAAAAAATCAGAAATGTTTTAAAAATAAAATCTGGAGTGCCTTCATATTAACAAAATGATCATTATTAAAAAGGCTGACAGAATTTACTGAGGTGATTTGGAATACTTTTAGGGCAGGTTAGAGGATTTGGGGATGAAAACACTGAGCATTACTCAGGGGAGGAACCATGTTTTCTATGGTTATCAGCATAAAAGCCCATGGCATTTTAAAAAGAGGTTACAATAAACCTTGATGCTTCAGGTAAACTATACTTTTCAGCTGCCATTTGATTTTAAAGTTACTATTGGTTGAAATTGCTTCATAATGGAACTGGTACAATAAAAATAGCTGATGCCAAAATCCATCTGGCCAACTTACATATGGTTTGTTCTAAACTTGGAATTTTATTTCCCAGTGTTGGGAAAGGGAGCAGCCTAGAACCATCTTAAAATTCCCTCTTATGTGCTGAAATGAGGAGGATGTATCCAAATAATGAAGTAAGATGGGATTTCCTAATGGCTATTTTATGATATATAAAGTACCATCTGAATATTTCAGAGACAGCTCTTACCCCTGATTCAAGGGCTTGGTAGGCGCTATAGAAATTATTTATGTTCAAAAGTCTCAATAAACTAATGAGAATTCTTTTGAAATCAGTACAATCTAAAATGCCAAGAAAAGTCAAAGAGAGGAATGAAATGTAGTATGAAAAGAAAAGTTTATAACACAGTAATGAAGGAAATAAGTATCCTTGATAAAGGGAGTTACAGCTATTGAATTAAAATCATGTTGCAGGGGTATTTTGAGAGATTTTTTTTATCAGATCTAGTAGGGACTGTTGCTGTTTCTGTATCTTGCTGGTTAACCAATTCAAAAATTAATTTATTTGGCCTTGTTAATAAGCACTGTATATCTCTGAAAATTACTAAATTATTTTGCTGCATGTGGTATGAAGTCTGGATTTCCATGTAAAAATTGCCTCTCTGAATATCTGTAGTTCTTTCTGAGCCACACTTCTTCTCTTTGACACGCTGAAATTCCCTTAAATCTTTTCCATTTCATAAACCTATATGCTTTCTCAAGTAAATTTTTATAGGAAGCTCATATTGTGGAGTTTCATATTTTTGTGGACTTTGTGGGGCTGCATACCATATGAACTATGTAATACCTACTTGTCATCATTCTTTCTCAATGGAATATTAAAGTAAATAATCAAGAAAATCCCTCTGAGAAGCACACCACAAGCTAAACCTTTTTTACACACAGTTTCACAGACTGCTTTTTGAGGAACATCTATCTTTTTTATTCAGTGTATAATTTAAATAAGTATAGGCTGCATGTTCTAACAAGGTATGACTCCTCCCCTTTGTTTAAGAAGACAACTTTCAATTTTCAATGTGCACTTTTGAGGAAGGAGCCACATATAATCACTAGGTTACCTGTGAATAGAGAAATTATAAGTATGCTAAGTGTACTGCATTCCTTCATGTCTTAAAAAAATGTTTCATAAATGCATCAAATGGGCTGAAATTGTCTAGATTTGAAAAGCAATCTAGGAGATATTTTATGCTGCAATGCTTTTATTCTTGATGGAACATGGATTAGTGATAAAATAAACACCAGACAATAGTGGAAAATATATCTTCATGGCTGTAGTCAGTAGTTATTATATGACTAGAGTTTTATTTTCTGCAGTAGAAAAATCTTATTTGTAAAAGAAAAAAAGATGAAAGTCTATGAGTATATAAAACTTCAGACAAATAATTTGTTTTCAAAAATATAGATTTAGTTAAACATTCAACTAGAAACTTAATACTTGAAAATTTGAAGCATTATTTTTGTTGTGTTATCAAGTCATTACTTTCTGTATTTTACAGAAAGGTAGAAAAGTGCACAATTTCTACATGATAATGGAGAAAGATATTTCCAGGAACAGAATCACAACCCAAAATATTTTTTGCATTAGGTTGTTGGTAAGCTCAAAACTTAACAACAACAACAAAAAAATCACCAAAGGCAAAATGAGAGAGAGAGAGAGAGGAGAGAAAGAGAGAGAGAGAGAGAGAGAGAGAGAGAGAGAGAGAGAGAGAATGAAAGAGAGAATAAAGAGAAGGAAGAGAAAGAAGGAAGGAAGGAAGAAAAAAATTACTTCATGATTGATCAATTATGTATTTATTGAACCTCAGTCTGGGGATGGTTGAAAGGATGTGTAAATCAATACAGATAGTTTTTTCCTACTTCTACCTATTTCTATCTTCCTACTTCTATCCTTTTGGATTGTAATTATTCTCTACCTGCTTGCAATGATGAAGGAAAAGTGGGAAAAAACTGAAAAAAAAGAGATGATTTGAGGAATGTGTAGAGGTTCTCACATTAAATGATGTGCCAGAGTTAAAAAAAAATAGGAAGAGCTAGATCCACAAAAGTGAAGACAGAATGCTTTCCTTAGGCTGCATATATAACAAGGCACCACAGTGAGTCTACTGAAGGTAACACAGTCGAGTCTCTGCCACCTATACCACTGTTTACGTTGACTGTACAGGTAAAGTTGTCCATAGATTAAAACAGTGACAGATGTGGATAGACTGAACGTCATTCTTTCCTAATAATTTCTCAACATTCTTTATTTAAATACATTTTTGCATTAAACGAAAATAAAAAGTAATTTCTTACAAAATTAAATATTAAAGTTCATATTGGGATATACAGAGATCAAGCTGACTGTTTTGAAGATATTATGAAACCATTTTGATGAAAAAGGAATCAGAGTAGTTAGTACAATAAGCAAAACAGTATTTACAGGGGACTTTTCATTTTCAAAATATTCAAGCATAATACATCTGATGTTCTCTTACTAAAACTGTTGATGGCCATAGTGGAAAATCATGGCAGGTAAAACAGAACATGTAGCCTCTTTATTATTCATTAGATTCATGTTTTAATTCACTACATACCTATTAGAAGAGATGCTGTTACAAGTTTAGGGTCATATGGACTCTTCCCACGGCCATTTTCAAAATGTGAGTCTTCCAGTTTAAAGATATTGTCCTGTGGGTCAAAACAAGAGAAATGGGTTCATTTCTTTACAAAAAGGAGTGATTTCATCATATCTGTTAATCAGAGAGAGAGAGAGCAATCTCATTCGTATAAACTTTAGAGGTGACAAAATAAAGTTGATTGAAAGCCAAGTAAGTACTTAGCCTTATGATTTTTAGTAGCAGCTGGAACATTGCAAGTAATAATGTGTAAATGAACTTTGAAGAACAGGATATGTCCAAATAGGAACACAGTAATTACTTTTTTCATATAGGTATGTCAAGAACTATCCTAATGACTCTTGAAGAAATAATTCTAAATTTATGTAAAGTGTGTCATTTCTTCCTTGATAGAGAAGAAAAATAAAAATTAGATTATATGCCTAGGATAAATTCTAGTGCCTTACATACTGTGTGTGCTTTCCATTAAAAAGTGCTAAATATTAATTGTTCAAAAGGGCATACACTTAAAAAAATGAAGGAAAGAAAGGCAAAACAGGTCCTGTTTGAGGGTGAGTGAACAGAGAAGTTGAAGGAGATTGAATATGGTTGATGTATTTCATATGCTTGTATGAAAATAGAAGAATGAAATTTTTTCAAGAAGGGGACAAGGAGGATGAGGAACAACGATGGAGGAAGTGAATCTAATCAAGTTACATTGTAAGCACATATGGAAATGTTACAATGAAACCCCCAGCGTAGCTGAAATATACTAATACATTTTTAAAGTGTTAAATAGCCATAGAATTCATTTCCTCATTCCTTCCTTTATAGGTGCATGCTTCTCATGCATTTTTAAGTTACAAAAGCAAAAGGTAGGACGCCTGAAACTACCCTTCTCTCTCTCTCTAGGAGGAAAGCATTAACTTCTATGTTAGAGGCCGTGTGCCTGCAGGTGGTGTCAATAGAACAAAAAGCATATTTTTTTATCAACAGAAAAGTCTTCTTTGTTGGGCTTAAGTATGAAAAGACAAAATTTTTAACTACAGGTAAAAATATGCTCATGTCCCAAGGTAGAACATTGTGCAACAAAACCTGATAAGGAAGTAACTAATTCATGCCTGAGATTCCTGTCTGACTGTGTGTAGCTACTGTTACCTATATGGAACAGTGGAATAGTTTTGGCAACACTTCTTAGCACTCTTTTCAAACTTGAGTGCCCTGGGAATTAATTAGGTCAGAATATGCATGCTTTTTCCGGTAGCATATTAACTTGTCTATAGACTGAAATAAAATAGCTTTTTTGGCATTTCTCTACTATTCACATAAAAGTATTTTCTGTCTTCTTAGAGTAGTAAATGACATTCATTTTATTGTCAATAAGGATCATTTTATTTAACATTTAATATTTCTGATGGAGCTAATGGCAGAATTTCAAATTATGACTTTTAAAACTCATTTGAATTAGGGAGGAAAGTGAAAAAGGAAGCAAACCAAAAGTGTTCTCTAGTTTTATTACCATGAGTGAGAATTACCAATTCTACTGTTTCCTTGCATTGATTCTCTATTTAGTAATTAGCAGTGCCCTGACAATGATGGTTCTTCACCTCAGTTCTAAAATTTACACTGTGCAATATTTTATGGGTTTTCTCAGAATTGTGCTAAGTTGTAGCGGGAAGTGTGGTGAACCAGGCAATAAGCCCAGCTGAGCAAATAACCAAATTTGGGTCTTTGGTTATCATTACACATCTCTGAGACTTTTGTTCCAAAAAGCCAACATGAATAGGGTATTCTCACAGATTTACCAAGAAGATTATAAAATTTATACATAGCATTTTCAATGAAGCAAAATAAATACCAAATGTAACTTATTTTGGTCCCATCAATATTTCTCATATGATCAATATAACAAAATAATATGAAAATTTAACATAAGTTGTTATCATTATTATCAAATTTCTTAACAATATGAAAGTACTTCATAGTTACATAAATCACCAAATATCAAACGTTATCATAGACACTTGAATATGAAACATATAAACATATTGCCATATGGTAATAAAACATATTGACATATGCTAATGAAAGAAATAGAAGAACCTTTCAATAAACATTTTAATGCATATGCATTTGATTAAAAAATTAAGAAACAGTAAAAAAGGAAAAATACTCAGAGCGAGTGCTGGTGGCTCACACATGTACTCTCAGCTACACAGGAGGCACAGTTCAGGAGGATCACAGTTTGAAGCCAGCCTCTGGCAAATAGTTTGTGAGACCCTATCTGGAAAATAACCAATACAAAACTGTGCTGGTGGAGAGGCTCAAGTGGTAGAGTGGCTGGTGAGGTCCTGAGTTTGAACCCCAGTACCAAAAAAAAAGAAACATACTCAGAGAAATATCTATTACCACAAGTCATAGTAAATAATATTAAAATTTATATATATAATTATTATTAAAGTTTGAGGAAGCAGCAGTGGAAAGTGGTAATGTGTTAGAAAATATTGTTACAAATATTGCAATTGCTATTTGAACTCATGAAACATTTTAAAGTACTGACAAAGAGGAACTATTCTCTGAAACATGAGACACTTAACGTCTGGGATCAATATGTCCAAGTTAATCAGACAATGCCAAGGTAGATGAGAAGAACTTCCAGTTTCATGTAAGATTTGATTTACAAGGTAAAGGATTAGACTTCATAGGACAAGAGGTTAAGCAACTAGTTATGGTTCAAGAGAAGATGAAAAATTATCCTTTGTCATGGTGTCAGGTAATGTTCTCAAAGCTTCCTCCTTTTGGTTCAACTCCATAAATAAATACTAAGGTAATCACCTCTTTTAGTGATATACAATAACTTTCTTCTAAATGTAAGTTACCATAACTTCTAAGTGTCTACCATGTAAATCTACATTCTTATGTGACTATGCAGAGGGGCAAAACAAATTGAAAATCCTTTCCAGCTCAGTGAGATACATGTAATTTGATCTCTAGGTAGGTAATTAAAATGACATTTCTTACATATAAATGTTTATAGTGTAAACTTCATACCCATTATATGAAGTAATGAGATTCAAAGAAGTTGAAATTGGACTGAACTGATGTTATCCCTGGCTCTGACTGTTCTTAGCTCTGGGCCTCAGGCAAGTCCCTAAACCCTTCTAAAACTCTGATTGCTCACCTGTAATATGATAGGAAAATGTCTTAGTTGATGTGAAAATGTATTGTAATTATACATGCATGGTGATAGTAACATACTTATTATGCCCTCAAAAATATTACTTTCAATTTCCCAATGCTTACATTTGCTAAAATAAAATCATTCTGTTTCCTTCTGATCAAATCTCTCATGCCACAATAGAAATGCCTGCCAATATTTTCATGATCAAAAATTAACACTGATGTTTAAAGTTTATGTATATGCTTTTGCCTCCCATGGTACACTGAAAATCATTCTTGTTGTAACTGGACAAAAGTCTAGTTGAAAAGCTTCCTTGGAAAAAATCATTTAAATTAGAATAAAAATGTTGATCTTCTTCATATGTGAATTTTTTCAGAAATGAATATTAATGTCAATCCATTAAAATATTCCCTGAGAATTTCTAATAAAACATTATTAAATAGAACATGTACAAAAATTGTTAAGAAAGAATACCCTCTTTAGCCTCTCTGATACACTTTTGTCATTGATATGAAAAGGGACCCATATTGACGTTTCTGTTTTTCAATGAGCAAGATGTGTGAAGATACTGACCCACCATGGAAGGACACTGTGTTAATGTAATTGTGTATCAATGCCCTGTGCTGTCATATGTAATATATCACATAGTTCACTGGCTCTACTTAGAAGGCCTCGCCCTTCTGAAATCTGATTGATACTTAATGATTTTCTGTTTTAGAAGAACATTAAATAGATCACATGTGGAAATATTAATACTAAATATCCTGAGACCCATGTACACAATTAAACTGCCTAACTTATATGCCTTACTTGTACTGAAACAATTTTCATTTTTAGTAATACAGGGACAAAAATCTAGCTGCATAGATTCTAATTGCTTTGGCAGATACTATGAGCATATTGTGTAAGTTATTATGCCATATTTTATTATGTGATTGCATCAGTTTTCAACGACTATTTTTAGCTTTCAAGACTACTCTTTCCCCTTTGTCTTTTGGATTTCCTGAATGTTATTAACTGGTGAGGTAAGGCATTAGAGGAAATAATAACTGTGCTAATGTCTAGTCCAAAGTCTTATAAATTATAAACCATTGGTGACATCATGGCAATAAATTTCCTAAATCTCAATCCTGTCCAAGTCATAAATTTTGGCAACAACGTTTCAATTTAAGTTATTTTATTTAATGATAAAAACATAAATGATGTTTAAAATGGAAAGAAAATAAAAATCCTACATATATATGATAGAATGAACACTTTATGTGGGAAGTTACACAAAATTATGCAAAAACCAGTACTTAGGGCAATATTTAAAAGATGGATATTTCTACAATTTTTCAAATTTCTCATTCTTCCTACTTCTCACAGCAGATATCTTGCATGCAAGTTTCCCTGAATCATCAAGTATTCCCTGATCATGTCATGTTCTCATCTTTCCCTAAAACTCCTTCCTCCCTCCCACACCCTTAGCCTCCAGCCCCTGGACAACTTTTCTTGCCTTAAAGATTAAATTGTAGTCACTTCCTAGGAGAAGTTTGTAGCAGTTCCTGTAGATATAGTTTATTAGCTTTTTTTGCGTATCTCAATTAACAATAGTATCAACCAATGATTATTAAAGGCAAATCTATTGGGCTTAGCAAAGAATGTAACAAGATCTCGGAAAATACTGTTGTATATTGTACTTTGGCCAAAGGAGATCCTTGTATGGATCAAATTCACCTGAATTTACTTTTCCTAGAAGGGTGACTCTAGATTTGCACTGAGCAATATTAAATAGCCATGAGTCACATCACCTTATTTAACTCAAATTAATTATCAGGAAAATTCTCATTCCTCAATTGCATTGGTCACAGTTCAGATGTTCAAGAGTCACATGTGGTTTGTGGCTATAG